GAACCTCACAGGTCATCCAGCCTAGCCCAAGCCTTAAGAGCCCCCATCTGTACATTACATACACAGAGGGTTATTACCTAACCTCATTTTGAAATGGGGAACTTACCACCTCCAGAGTCTGCCGATTCTGCTTCTGGACAGCTCTAATTATGAGCAAGTTTTTTCCTTCTATCTAGCCAAGATCTGCCTCTCTATAACTACTGCCTAATACTCTTAGTTCTGTCCTCTGGGATCAAGCAAAGTAAATCTAATTTTTCTCTCCTATGACAGCCCTTCAAACACTAGAAAATGGTTGTTATGTCCCTGCCTGAGTCTTTGCTTCTGCAGGCTAAACATTCCTAGTTCTTTCAACCCATTCTTATATGTCATGATTTCAAGTCCCCTCGACATTTTGATCACCTGGGTACATTCCGACTTGTCATAGTTCTTCTGTTCTTCTACCCAAAACAGAACAGAATACTCCACATTTAGTCTGTCAAGGGCAGATTTCAGTGAATATGATTCCCTTTCTTTCTTTCTTTCTTTCTTTCTTTCTTTCTTTCTTTCTTTCTTTCTTTCTTTCTTTTTCTTTTTCTTTTCTTTTTTTTTGGAGGCAATCAGGGTTAAATGACTTACCCAGGATCACACAGCTAGTGTTTGAGGATTATTCCCTCTTTCTAAGCATTATGTATGTATATTACAATTGTATTATTGCAGCTCTAATCACATTAGGATTTTTTGGTTGTCAAGTCAATGTTGGCTTAATGGAGCTTACTGCCCCTTTTTAAAAGCTTCTGTTCCTTTTTACATGAATTGATATCTGTCTTCCCATGATATATTTTATAGTTCATATTTTGAATCCAAGTACAAAACTTTACATTTTTTTCCATTGATTTTTATCTTATTTGATTGTAAATAAAAATGACTTACATTTATATAGTGCTTTAAGATATCTGAAGCTCTTTACTAAGGACAAGACTGTGAACTAGCTAATACAGCTATAATTATTACCCTTTTATAGAAAAAGAATCTAAGATACTGAAGTGGCATAACTACAGTAGCTTTGTTATCATGTGCCGGTTACTTAACGTCTCTGAACCTCAGCTTTCTCATCTGTAAAATAGAAATAGTAATATCCTCACTGCTGACCTCACAAGGTTGATGCAAGAAGGGACTCAGTAAATAAACCATAATTCATATTGTGAGCTATTGGTATAATAGTAACAACAAATGATAGCCCATTATTCTAGGCTGTTGAGATCTTTATGAATTCTGATTCTGACATTCAAAGCACATGCTAGCTCATAATGATTCCTTCCTTTTCCAAGGGCTTATTGCCTATGCTTTAATGATACAATCTGAAAAAATTTCCAGGAATTGAAGGCAAACCCAGTGGCCTAGAGTCTAAAGAATGTGTTCTTTCTCTTTGTGAAAACCGATACATTTGCCTATCTTCAGTGCTGTGGTACTCCACATGCTCCATGACTGTTGACAGATTTATACCTACAAGGGACCTTAGAGGCATCTAGTTCAATTTCCTCATTTTTACCAGTTGGGAAAGTGAGGCCCAGAAACATTATGTGAGTTGATGGAGATCTCATTAGTATAAAGTATCAAATCCCAACAGGGTCTCAGCAATCATGTCCTTAAGTTCATTCTGGCTTGGTGACTCAGAACTCCCTGAAAGCAGCTAAGGTGTTCCGTTATAGCTCCCTTATCTTAGGTCTGAATGCCCAGTTAACCCTTTTTATTTCATAATTATCACTCCATGACAGAGAGAACAGAGGCAAAATAACTGAGTAATTCTCTTTTCTTCATTACCCATGATAATAGAATCACAGAATTTGAGAGGTAGAAGTGACCTCAGTAGCCACTCATAACCAAAAGGAGTGCCCATTACAATGTCCTGCCTCTGCTTGAAGACCTCCAAGGAAAGAGTTACACTCCTCCTTAAGGGAACCCATTGCATTTTTGGACAGCTCCAATTGTTAGGAATTTTTTCCTGACACCGAGGTCCAACTTCAGCTAGTGCTCCTGGTTCTGCTCTCTGGGGACAAACAAAACAAGTCTAATGCCTCTTCCACTTTCTAGCAGGGGTGGGGAACCTGTGGCCTTGAGGCCACATGTGGTGAAGTTTGGATTCAGTCAAAGAGCTGCACTTGAGGACCTAGAGGACCACATGTGGCCTCAAGGCCACAGGTTCCTCACCCCTGTTAGCCTGTCAAATACAAAAGATAGCCCCCAAGTCTGTCTTTTACCAGGTTAAATATGCCTAGTGTCTTCAACACATCCCACTATGACTTGGACTCATGGCCATTCACCATCCCAGTTGCCCTCCTCTGGACACTCTCCAACATATCAATGTCCTTCTTAAACCAGAGAACCCAGAACTGAACCCAGAATGGATGAGGTCTGACATGAGTCAGATTATCATCTCCTTGTTCCTGGAAGCATTGTCCCTCTTTAACGAAGCCCAAGTTGGCTTTAGCTTTTCTGGCTGCCACATCACATTGCTGATTCATTTTGAGCTTGAGGTCCACTGAAGCCTTCTGATCTTTTTCACAACAGCTTTCCAACCATATCTTCCCCATCTTATCCTTGTGAAGTTGATTTTAACATCGAAGTATTAGGCTTTACATTTATCCCTATTGAAATTCAACTTCAACCCAATGCTTTAACCTATGAAGGTCCTTTTGGAATCTGCCATCAACTGCGCTAGCTGCCCTGTCAGCTTTGTGTCATATCTACAGATTTGATGAGAATATCACCTTATCCAAGTCATCCATAAAAATGTGAAACAGCATAGATCCCTGGGATACTCCACTGGAGATCTCCTACCACAGCCATTCATTCAATCAGTTTTTTATCCATCTGATTATATTAGCTAATGCAAATCTTGCCCATCTTTCCCACAAGAACAGTTTGAGATACTTTATCAAAAGTGAATGTTAATGGGGACAGCTAGGTGGAACAATGGATAGAGCTCCAGCCTTGGAGTCAGAAGGACCTGAGTTCAAATTTGACCTCACACACTTGACACTTAGTAGCTGTGTGACCCTTGGCAAGTCACTTAACCCCAATTGCCTGACCAAAAAAGCAAAAAAAAAAAAAAGAGTGAATGTTAATGTCTGACACATGTGCCCCCACCCAGACTTCCCAGGCCATTAATAAAGTTTCTTCCTTGTTAAAAAAAAAAAAAGTGAATGTTGAAAGCTAAAAATTAATTAATTAATTAATTAATTGAAAAATAAAATAAAGTTTAGCTAAACTCTACATAAACTATATCCATAGCATTCCCTTCATTTGATTTAGCAATCCTGTCAAAAACAAAAGAAAGACTGGTATGACTTGCTCGTGATGAAGCCAGATTATCTCTTTGGAATTACTGCTTGCCTTTCTAGCTGTTCTCCAGCCATCTCTGTAATGATCTTTTCTAGAATTTTCCCAAGAATCAAAGTTAAGCTCACTTTCACATAATTAGGAAAAGCAATCTACTTTTGCCAGGAATAGAAGGAAATCTACCCCACAGGCATTGGCCCTTTGCTTTTTAAAAATCTTTCTATTTGTCCTGCCACCTACATAACTAAAATAGAAACTTTTGTTGTCCTTAATATTCGTTATAAGCCTTAGTTTATCCTGGGCTTTAAAGTTGCTCCCATTATTCTTAAAAAGCCAAACCTTGCCTTTTTCTTTATTATTAGTTATCAGCCCATATTCTACACATATATTTCAAAATTTTGAGTAATCTATGAGCATCCTGTAATTTAAAAAAGCACAGAACTTGGAGTCAGAGGATATATGAGTTCAAATCCTAGCTCTCCCATTTACTACCTGTATGAAATTGAGGCAAATTGCTTAACTGCCCTATTCCTCATCGGTTAAATTTTCAGATGACCTTTCTGGCTTTAAATCTGTGATCCTGCAATAGAAGTGCATTATAGAGAACTGTGTTGGAAGTAAATAGATGATGAATTACAGAAAAATCACGACGTTGTCATTAAGAGGTGTGATATATTCATAATAGGGAATTTCAACTCTTTGCTCTCATTCCTTCTCTGCCCCATTCCCAAGGACATTAGGGACATTAACCTACCCTTTTTCCCTATCCTCCAACCTCACCTGGATTCCCTTTTCCCTTCCTCTCACAAGAGAAGATGCTCCTTTGAAAAAGGGAAGGGGGAGAAATCAGTAAATATCATCTGGCAAAAGACCAGACGTATCACCAAGAACAGAAGTAAAAAGAAGACCATGGTAGTTTCAGGGATAGACATGGAGCATCCTAATTTAATTGATATTACATACCAAGTATATTCAACGTGTAACTGTTCGTTCTAACCCAGGGAAGTTGTGACATAAATAAAACTGATGGAGTATACAGATACCATGTAGTTGTTTTACCCTCATGATTCTTTTTTTCTTAGGTTGATGTTAAAAGGAGTTTTATTCCCAGAGCACACAACCACTGACAGAGGAGCAGGCCTGGGGTCAGGGCTTGGGGGGTGGGGATGGGGGGACCTGGATGGAATAACCCACAAGGTTAGACAGTGGGGAGTTATTTATATAGAACAGCCAAAGAGAATAAACAAACGCAGATGGCTTAGCAGTAGCTCTGAGAGACTGGCCTGTTGTTATTCCTATCAATAGCAGTGGTGATGATAGCATAGCTCAGCTGGAAAAATTGGGGAATTGAGACTTAGGTTCCTTTTAGGTTCCATTGCTCTCTTCTCAGACTTTCATTAATTTGGCTGCCCCTGGGTGAGGCAGGGGATGCAATCTGTAGATGGTATTTCTGGCCTGCTTTCTCTAGCGCCTTTAAAATGTCCAACTTACAGCTTGAAACATTTCAGGAATACTTAGCACTTCCCCATGGTGTCCCCTGCTCTAGGGCAGCGCAAATCCAAGGGAGTAGGTTGGGATATGGAGAGAGTTCAGAGAGAGCAGAGAGACGTGGTAGTTTGGTGGGAAGTGGGGTGATTAAGTGGTCTCGACATAATGACTGTCCCTCTTTATTTCTGTCCCAGGCTGGAAGCTAAACCCCGTGGTGGGTGCTGTGTATGGACCCGAATTCTATGCAGGTAAAGTGTGGGGAAAGGGAAGCACGTGTTGTTTTTGAGACCTGAGCAAGGGGAGAGGAGAAATGACAGGATCCTAGGAGAAGGCTGTCCCAGACACATATAACAATCCCACCCCAACAAAGGAGTGGCTATTGTTTAGCTATCATTAGCCTCAAGGTAACTTATAGGGCAATGCCCCATGACTCAGGGCCAGGAAGGAAGAAGAGGAAATATTACTGGGGCCCCTGCTCCTGCTTTTGAGACTGAACAGGGAGCATCAGGGGATCAGCGATAAATGCTTCCTTTCCTTTCCTGCGTCCTTTCAGGTAAAAGGTTAATTGACCTCCTTTGCCTGACCCTCATTTCTTTTTTTCTGTTGGGTGACTCAATGGGGTGACTCTGCTTTTCTCTTCCTCTTTCTCTGCAGTGACAGGATTCCCATACCCCACAACAGGCACAGCAGTAGCATACCGAGGGGCACACTTACGAGGTCGGGGACGGGCTGTCTATAACACATTCCGGGCTGCACCACCTCCTCCCCCCATTCCAACATATGGCGCGTGAGTACCTAGGATGGGGAGTTCCTGGTGGCTTGTGTGGGCACAGAGAACAGTTTGGGACATTCCAGGTGCAGGGAGATGGAGAAGGAATGGGGCCAAGGAACGGGGACAGAAATCTGAGAAGTCCAGAGGAGGCAAAGGGGGCTGGTCAACTTGGGGGGGAAAAAAGAAAGTATAAATTGCTTGAGAAACATTTTGGGAAATTATGAACTAGGATCACAGAATCATAGATTGAGAACTGGAAGAGACCTAGAGTCCACTGAATCCAACAACTGCTTCACTTTACAGATGAGTAAACAGAGGCACAGGGAGTGTCTGAGGCCCAGTTTGAGCTCAGGTCATGCTAACTTCAAGGCCAATGCCCTATCCACCATATCAAACTGCCTCTGGTCTCAAAATTTCCTAGTCATATTAAAGGGACCAGATGGGACTAGCAGATAGGGAGCTGGCCTTGGAGCCATGAAGACCTCTGACACATAGAGGTTATGTGGACCCTGGGCACGTCACTTACCCTCTCAGCTTCCTAAGCAACTCTCTAAGACCCTAAGTTGCACAAAAGGTGCTGACGTGTATTGGTAGAGGTAGTTTACCCAGTAGATATCACATATCTAGTCTTTATCCCTATAGAATGATGAACAATGCAGAAACTTCTCTAAAATTGTTCACTCAAGGCATTTAGTCAGAGACCTACCAGACCATAACACTAGCGGTACCTCTGAGCATCTTTCATGTCCCTCTGTATGTTGAAGATTCCAGGAATCCTCAGGACTGGAAGACCAGGGTTCCATTTATGGTTCTGCCCCAGCTGCCTCCCTGAGGAATGGAGGACAAACCCCATCCATCTCAGGGTCCTAGTGACCTTTGATGCATAATGGGGATCACAGTTCCCCGGGATGAGGGTGGGGATGGTTGGGGGGGTGGGGGTAGTAAATGAAACTGGGGCTGAGAGGCCCCCTAGGCTTGTGGGGAAAAATTTGCTCACTATAGCAAGGGTGTTACTCTATTGTTATACCAAAACAGGGCACTGGAGCAAACGCTTGTTAAAATGCCAGTCCCATGGGCAGGGCTGGCACCATGCCCCCTCCCTCCTCAGCAGACACCGGAGCCGGCCTACCCCACCTCTCCAGCGTTCCCACCACTTTCTTGTCCGTTTGCTTCCAGGGTCGTGTATCAGGATGGATTTTATGGCGCAGAGATTTATGTAAGTGTGCCCCACCCCCATAGCCACTCATTTCAGGGGATAAAACCCTACTTCCCCCATAACTGTGCTTAAGCTAATGGGATGTCTCCCACAGTTCAGATGATCCCAGGACCCAGCGCAATTGGGGAACACACAGACAGAGAGGGTATCAACTCTGCCTTTGTTTTCCTGTGGCCCATTATAGTTAATTTGAACTATTTGTGCATATTAGGAAGGCAGGGTAGGAATAATGCAAAGTAACTAAATGACATTGATTTTGCTGAATCAAAGACAGAATGAACTATTTGTGCCCGACCTGTGGTAGAGCCTTCTGAGCTTGTGTTGGTCTGATCAGCCACAGTCGGACACACTGTGCCTTGACCCCAACATAGTGGTGTCATTTTGGTCTTCTTCTAGAAGAAAGTACATTAAAAAAAAAAAAGAAAGAAAAAATAATAAATAAATAAAATAGAACAAAGGACAACCATCACCAATGAAAGACCATATGTTGGAGGGGGAGGAGTGGGGCAGGAGAAGAGATGAGACAACAGATTGCTATTCCTAATCATGTCAGCTTTGATGGCATTGCCTCTCTTTACCTCTTAATGGTGGAGGACCATGACAGTACACCCAAAAAGTGTAGAACCCAACAGGTAGATAGCACAACTTGCTGTACTTCCACCTTCTCTGTTTTTCTCCCTAATGTGCCTTTTCCTTGTCCCCTACCCCTTTACTCCACAGCATCTCCAGGAGAAAAAGAAATTCCTCATAAAGATTCTTTGCCCCTGTTGCTTCCAATTGGTTAGAAACTTGTAATTTTGTTACAAGATTCCCCTCCTACCCTTACCCCACTTTAGCAGTGCCACCTACTTACGGTCTTGTGTGTTGTCCTATCAGGGAGAACCAACCCATCTTGATTTAGAAAAGATGAATAAGGCTTGGACCTCATTGGAGGCCATCTGATGCCATCTGCCCTGAGCCCTTCCCCAAGACTTAGAGAGACATAGGGCTTCTTTATCCCTCTAAACAAGGAAGTTCCTAACCTAAAGTCCAGACACTGAAGGGGTCCATGGATAGATTTCAGGAGAGTCTGTAAACTTTTTTTAAAAAATTGATATTTTGTTAACTATATTTCAATAATTGGTTTCCTTTGTATTTTTTTAAATTTTCCTATACACTTTATTTTATGCATTTAAAAACATTTTTCTGAGAAAGAATATGCCAAAGGAATCCATGGCATGGCACTGAAGAACCTCTCTCCTCCAGTAAATTGTATTTGACTTTTTCAGTTTAGCAACCTAGTCCCACCTGGGCAGGGAAATCAGGAGCAATATTCCTTACAGACCAAGGGCTAGTCTTTCCCCTCCCAGGTCTTCTCTATTTTCCAATGTTTTTCAATGCCCTAAATATGTCAATGAACTTGGGTCCCCGAGGGCTTGGGGGCTGGTCCTATGTGTACGTTCTCTAGCCCTATCCTTTCTCAGCAGACAGACCTCTTCAGACTGAGACCTGTTGCGCTCATCTGCCTTTTCTCTCCTCTCTTTCTTGTCCCTGCAGGGGGGCTATGCAGCCTATAGATATGCTCAGCCAGCAGCAACGGCAGCAGCTTACAGCGACAGGTAAGAAGTGAGTCCAACCTGGGGTATAGAAGTGTATATGGTGGGGGTGGAGCCAAAGGGAAGTGAACAGTGGGTCCCTGTAAGTAAACTCAACAGATGACAAAGGATAAGTAATCATGAACATGATCATAAATGATAATAGCAATCTCCCAGCTCTCCCTATCAGTGCCCCAGCTCTACTGATCCATCCAGAAAATAGTTGCTGCCTATCCCAATCACTATCCCATCTCAGGAATCCGTTAGAGAATCTTGGCTTCTTCCTAAGTTGGCTCTAATGTCATTAGGCCTCAGTAGTGGGCACTAGGGTCTGTCTATGTTGTAACAGCTTACTCCAACAGCAAAATTGTCTTTTCTTGCTCTTTCAAAACTCTCACACCCTTGTAACTTACTTGAGGTTCTGGGCAGAAACTACTACAATCCATGGTATGACTGCTTTTAGTCAGGGTTCCAGATCCCCTCCACTTTATTTTCCTTTTTTGGGGAATTCAAAGATCTAGAAGGAGCATACTCCCTCTATGAAGGCAGATCTCAAGCCCTCTGTGCCTGGTGGCCTTTATCAGTCACCGTTGGTTGAAGTGTCAGGTGGTGACTGGCACCCTGTGATGAGCTTACTAGATTGGTCCTATGTGTACATATGCGCATATTATACATATGGGCATGCACACATGTGTGCGTGTGTAGAGAGAGAGAAAATATGAAGGTGATCTGAAAGAGGAAGGTATTTGTGGCTAGAAGGGAAGATACTATTCTATCGTTCCCCCCACTCACCAGGTCTTCTTGTTAGCCAAAGAGCATTTGAACTCTCAGTCCATCCAGCTGGCCTCTGGCCAGCAATACATAGTGACTGCTTCCTCCTTCATCTAAAGTGAGAAAATTTCTGGGGAGTGAACCATCGCATCCTCTTCCTAGGTCTGGTGCTTCTCCTCCTCCATTCCCTGTTAGCCAAGAGACTAATCTAAACTCCACAAACCTAAATTCCACTCAAGCCTTTGACTAACTTCCCAAATGTCTCCCTGTCCCCAATTCCTTAGATCCCTTTGACCAAGCTTCCCATCTGTTCCCCAGGCTCTAGAAGGGTCTCTAGAAAGATGACTAACTGGAATCTCTGGATCCTCTGGAGTCTCAACTACTCTATTGGAGAAATTCCTCCCTGTATGCAGAGATAACTGAGAGTTGACTACAAAACAGGCTATAAAAAAGTGAATGCGGTAGCATATCAGGTCCAGAGATGGATCTTTCCTTCTCCGAACTCTTCTGTAAGAACCATCAGGGTTGCTGTCACTGAAAAACTGTACATGTCATTTGCAAAAGTGCTTTTCTTTTTTTAATAAACTGGTTTTTATTGAAATATAGATAGTAATTCTTTATTATATGTCTATATATAGCCAACTGTTATTTTTATTAATTAATTTATTTTTAGTTTTCAACATTCACTTCCATAAAGATTTTAAGTTCCAAGTTTTCTCTCCATCTCTCCCCTTCCCTCATCCCAAGATGGCATGCAATTTGATATAGGCTCTACATATATATTCATATTGACCCTATTTTCACATTAGTCATGTTTTAAAGAAGAATTGGAACCAATGAGAGAAACCACAAGAAAAAAGAAACAAAAAAAGAGAGCAAATAATATGCTTTGATCTGCATTCAGACTCCATAGTTCTTTTTCGGAATGTGGACAGCATTTTCCATCATGAGTCCTCTGTAGTTGTCTTGGATCCTTGCATTGCTAAGAGATGAGGCTATCAAAGTTAGTCATTGTGGCTGTTGCTGTGTACAATGTTCTTCTGGTTCTGTTCACTTCACTCAGCATCAGTCCAAGTTTTTCTGAAGTCTGCCTGCTTATCATTTCTTATAGCAAAATAGTATTCCATTACATTCATATACCACAACTTGTTCAGCCAATCCTCAACTGATGGCCATCTCCTCAATTTCCAATTGTTCGCCACCACAAAAAGAGCTGCTAGAAATATTTCTGTACCTGTGGGTCCTTTTCCCATTTGTATGATCTCTTTGGGATACAGACCTAGAAATGGTATTGCTGGGTCAAAGGGTATGCACAGTTTTATAGCCCTTTGGGCATAGTTCCAAATTACTCTCCAGAATAGTTGGATCAGTTTACAACTCCACCAACAATGCATTAGTGTTCCAATTTTCCCATAGCTTTACTGTTTTGTCATGTTAGCCAATATGATAGGAGTGATATGGTACCTCAGAGTTGTTTTGATTTGCATTTCTCTAATCAGTAGTGATTTAGAGCATTTTTTCATATAACTATAGGTAGTTTTAATTTCTTTATCTGCTGTTCATATCCTTGATCATTTATCAATTGGGGAATGACTTGTATTCTTATAAATTTGACCCAGTTCTCTATATATTTTAGAAATGAGGCCCTTAGCAGAGACACTAGTTGTAAACATTCTTTCCCAGTTTTCTCTTCCCTCCTAATCTTGGTTGCATTGACTTTGTTTGTGCAAAAACTTTTCAATTTAATGTAATCCAAATTTTCCATTTTGCATTTCATAATGTTCTCTATCTTTTGTTTCATCATAAATTCTTCTGTTCTCCATAAATCTGACAGGCAAATTATTTCTTGCTGTCCCAGTTTGCTTATAGTATCAGCCTTTATATCTAAATCATGTTACCCATTTTGGTTTTATTTTGGTATAAGGTCAAAAGTGCTTTTTTTCAAACATTTATCCTTGACCCTCCATACATGTCCAGGATTTCTATCTCTCATGGACTGTCTGATCCCTCTAACTTTCTCCACTAAAGTTGTCCCCCACTTTTGCCCAAAGTGAAACCTGTCCACCCGCCATAATTGTCCTTCGGTTAATTAGTTTAGTTGCCAGAGCAGTTCTAATCAGTCAAAAAGTATTTGTTAAGCACCTGCTGTGTGCCAGGCACTATGCTAATCACTGTTCTCCTATCTCTCGTCTGTTATCACTTCTGAGGGACAGCCCCAGAGTGAAAATGATCAGCAAATACCCATCCCAACTCTCTCTATCCCAAGGTCTTAACTTCTTTCTCCTTGGAGACCAGAAATAGAGTTATAGCAACCAACTCAGGTCCCTGGACAAAACTGGTGGAGCTGGGATTGCAGAGAAGTGAAAAATTTTTAGGGAAAGTAGGATACAGTAGGGGTGGGAGGATGAGGGAAGTGTGCAGCTGTGATTGATGAACCCTTCCCACCTGGGACCTTTCCCCATAGTCCTAAGGCTTCCCTGCTAGTCAAAGAACCAAGATTCTATTTCATTCAGCCCTGATGCTCCATCCTGCAGAGCCAGCAGGACTCCTAGAAGTGTGGCCTGGGATGCTCGGCTCTGCCAGACATAAGACACCAGCTGTAGCAAGCTTTCCATATCGGCTAGGAGTCTCATGCTCTTGTGATGGGGGAAGGTTCTCATCACACTATCCCTCCCAGCCCCATCCATTGGGAGCCTTACCCTACTTGGATGCTCAGTGTCTGTGGTGACTTCAAAGACTTAAGATTATTTAGTCTCTTTAGTCCAAAGGCAGAGGGGGACCTTGGTTGCCATCTTAAATTAAATAATAAGTAAGATTTGGTTGGGGAAAAATACAGAGATATAAGACTGTCCAGAGGCAAGCCTACCCATCTTAAAGGGAAAGTAGATGTCCAGGCTTCAGGAATTCTCACTGTTGGGCTGGCCAGTTGTGGATATTTCAGGCTCTTACTCAGCACTGATGATAATGACTCTATCATGATCTATTCGCACCCCAGAAACCATTTTTCCTCCCACTCTGGACATACTCACTAGGACCCTTCTGCCCTCACATCTGCATGTAGTCCCTCAGTTCTCTATCTCATCAAATACAACATATGTTGTACGCCAAGTTATGTATGAAAACACGGACAGACCCTACCCCACATTTCTTGAGGAGCTTACATTTAATGGCAGAGGGTCTGACGGAGAACAAAAAGGGCATGTGGTTATCTGCTGTTAGGAGCCACCTCTTTTTTAAGAAAGGCTTCCTGCAAGAGGTATACTAGGCCTTGGGAAAGCAAAGGAAGGTGACCTAGTGGATATGGGAGTCTGAAGTCAATAGACTTAAATCTAGGTTTGAGAAGTAGGCAGACATCCCTCACCCCATTTATTTTCTTTCCATCGCATCTGCTTCCCACCACTACCACACCTTACCTGTTCTTTTTGTTCCCTAGTTATGGCAGAGTCTATGCGGCTGCTGACCCTTACCACCATGCCATTGGCCCTGCTGCAACCTATAGCATTGGAACTATGGTAAGGAGGTTCAGCCCTGCTTTGGCCATAGATTGGTTCAGCTGTTCATGGTCAGAAAAAGCTATTATCCCTAGAGTGCAGAGAGAGGGGAGGGTGTATGTTGGGGGGTTGGGGAGCACCATTAGAGACAGCCTCTGGTTGAATCTAAAATAACTTTCCATGGGGTCAAGAAGTTGGGAAGAAGGGAAGAGAAAGCCTGGCCCCTATAGGTATATAGTACTCCTCTCCTCATGTTCCCATCTTAAGCTGGGAAAGGGACATCATATATTACAGTTTGTTGGCCCCTTTCTGTGTGTGTCTCTCTGGCCTTCCAGTCTGTGTCATATCCCAGGTCAGCTTCCCAATCTTCAGTGGCCCATTATCCTGAATCCAGTATGCCACTGAGAGAGATCTCAAACAGCCTCCTCCCTTCCTCAGTGATACCCTTCTACCCACAGCAATAAACTCAGTTACCCCAGGTGCAGAAGTGGTCCCCCTAGTCCCTTCTGTGTTTCAAAGTGCCAGTCCTCTCACACACATCACCCAATCACCTACAGCTGAGGAGAGGGGGCCTCATACCCTCCATTGCTCCCTGCTCCCTAAGGTGCTTGCTCCAGGATTCTCTCTCCCTGGATTCCATGGTCACCATTGCATGGGCAGAATGGTTGGGGTCAGGAAGAGAGAAAGAGTGAACTTCTGATGAGCTTGGCTTGATGATGGTGATCTACAGGAGAGCCTGTGTGTATGTGTGTGTGTGTACACATGCCAGCAATAGTCACAAAAACCCAGCCCCATTGTACAACGGGGTGTTCTCTCAATAACACATCAGCCTAATAGTAACCCAACCCCTCATCCCGGCATTGTACTTAATGTCGGTTTTTAGCTAGCTTGGCATCCAGCATCAAAGATGAAAACTGTTGGGGGGAGGGAGAGGGCCAGAGAAGGGAAGTGGGGAAAGTGGGTAAGGTTCAATCCAACAAGATTTTTTTTCTTTTCTTTTAAGGTCCCTTGATTTTTTATTCTAGTTTTTTTCTTTTTAATTTTTGGGTGTTTTCAATCCTCAGAAATCTAATCTTGCCTGAGGTTGTCCCTGGCAACACCGTGGGCTAGATTCAACCCCTTACTGTCTTGCTCTCCCTGAGACCAGTGACTCTGAGGAGAGGTACTCAGGCCCTAGGTTGGTGTGCTTTGTAGTGTTTTCTTAAAAATCCCAATGCCTTCAGTTCAGCTGCTAGCTAAAAGCTTTCATTAATTAATTAATAAAATCTCTTTTTGTGTTTTAACATTTTTTTAAAGAAACTTTTATCTTTTTTGTCAACTTTTCAACATTTTCCATTTTCTCCCCTTTTCAATTGAAAATAGACAGTAGGGTGGGAGGGGAAAAAGAAAATCTTTTGTGCAGGGTAATGAAGTGAGAAGCCAGCTCAGGACTCCAGAGGTTGGAGAAGAGGTTTGGAAACTTGAGGGAAACAGGGATCCTTTGAGAAAAGGGGAGTGAGTAAGTAACCTGCTGTACTGGCAGGGAACTACCCTCTTGCTCATAAAAGAAGAACACAGAATGATATATTTAGAACTAGAATGAACTTTAGAGGTAAGCTAGTCCAACTGCATTTTACAGATGAAGAAAATGAGGCTTAGAAAGGTTAAGTGATTAACCCAAGTAGAGCTGAGATTCATTCAAACACACGTCCTCTGACTCCAAATTCAGTATTCTTTCCACTATACTCTTAACTATACCTAGGATACAAAGACTCTGCTTCTCCACCACCACCACCAACCCATAAAAAAGAAAAAGAAAAGTCCCTATCCTTAAGGGAGCTTATATTCCCTATAGAAGGAAATACGTGAAGCTCAGAGAAGTGATTTGCCCAAGGGCACACAGCTTATAAATAAAGAGGACACTCAGACCCTGGTCACAGCAGAAGAAAACCTTTGGACATGTATAAGGAAATCCTGGCTATTATTTGGTAGCCCTGGGCATAAATGCTGTCTATCTGATGTGGCCATTTGGCTTGGGCCTTAAAACCTCCATAGCCCCAATTCCTTAATCAAAATTAGGTGGTATTGCATCAAAATAAGCAGGCCCTTATCCTCCCTAGATAAAGCCTGCTTGGAGTGTGCATCCTGTCATGAAGTCTCATTAACTCATGGTCATAGGATCACAGTATTTAGAGCTAGTCAGATTACTTGATCCACAGATTGATTTACTGCAAAAAGCACCTGTAATGTGCACATCACTGTGCTGGGTGCTCAAGAGACAAAAAAAAGAAAAATGAAGTCCTTGCTGTCAAGGACCACCATTACATTCCTTTCCCTAAGGAAATGGAAGCCCAGAGCAGGGAAGTAACTTGCCCATGGTCACACAACCTATAAATAGCAGAGCCTACTAATTTAAAACCATGCCCTCCAACTCCAAATCCATTGTTTTTCCCACCATGTTAGGCAACACTCCATGAGAAATCAAGGGCTACACCAAGGACTAAGAATTAACAGAGAGGAAAGAAAAAAATGAAGGCAGGTACTGCTGATAGCCACTTCCTGTACTTGCTCCCAAAGACTCCCTCCCTCTTGGCTTCAGAGATACCACCCACTCAGAAATAAACTAAGCCCCTCAACCTGGCCTCTACTGCCCTGTTGCCATGGCAAATTATCATATACCATTGATCAATTATTCTCCCCATGGAGGGGGAAGAAAACAAACAATGGGGGAAGAAAATGGGATTTGGCTATTTCTCTTTTTCCTTTCTTTTTTCTTTTTCCTTTTTTTGATTTTTTTTCCTACCAAAAGACAATACTGATTGGCTGTTTTTCATCTTTGATGTTGCAGGCTAGCCTCTGCCGAGGAGGGTACAGCCGCTTCACCCCCTACTAGCAAGAAACCCAGCCCCTAACAGCATTCACACTGACTGCTTATTCCAAACCAAACCAAACAAACTAGACACCAGGCAGATCCTCCGGGAAGACAAACTGCCCCACCGGGTCAGGGACATTCACCGCTGACCCTCCGCGACTCTAAAACCATAGATTTTTACCTCCAGTTGTTTCTCCCCGCCCCATGGTGGTGTGTGTGTCTTTGTCCATGACTGTACCTGTATGTTTGTAACTAATTTCCTGTATTGAGTTTGTCGGTGTTGTTCCACTCCCAAACCATCAAGGTATGGTATACAAACTGGGGGCCATGGGAGGGGGGTAGTAGGGGAAGGGCAAGAATCAAGAAGTTGAGCCTGGAGTCAGAAGACCCACCTTCCCCATGACTCTGACCCCTCAACTCACAGCTACCCCCAAAGGGTTAATAAAACTGGCCTTTTGCCCAGGCCAATCCCCCTAATTCCACCCTATTCCATCTTTACTCTTCCATCAACAGGCTGAAGTTAGGGAATCTTAGTGAAGAGAGTCAGGGCCACAGACCATATGCCATTCTCCAGGTTCCACAGTTCATTTAATTCTCCCATTCTGGTCCTTGTCTCCATGCTTTATCCTTCTACAGCTACTTATCTCCCATCTCTGCCCAAAGGATCTTGAAACTGCTAGAAGAAGTCTTTTCCATGAAGAGAAGGGCAGGAAAAGGGAATCAGCACTCTCCTGTCCTCTCTTCCATCTTAGATCAACCCCTTACCTCTCTCTGCTTCTCCCTCTCTCTCTCTTTCCTTCCCTCCCTATTTCTGGTCTTCCTCATCTCTTCTCTCAGCTGAAACAAATTTTTAAAAAATTGAATTATATAGATTCCAACCCCTATGGAAGTCATAATAATGTCCTGGCCAAAGTGTTCTTTGCAAGAGATGAAAATGGAAATGAATTCTCCTTTCCCTAGTTCCCTGCATCTGTCCATATGCCTTACAGGTCCCCTATATAACGGTCCTCAAATCTCTCCTCTGTCCTACGACCTAGAAACAAAGCCATCAGTGTCCTAGCTGTGGAGTTTCCCTAGCCCCCTCCTAAAGTGGCAGATTTTATTTTCCCAGCTCTGTCCTTGGTGTGTGCTGCCTAGCCAAAGCATCTCCCTTCCTGTGCCTAAGCTCAAAAAAAAAGAAGTCTTTAGTTTGAGTACTTGTATTACTTTGCCCTTCAAAAATTAAGCTTCTTATATAGGGACTCCTCACTGCTGGATGGCTCATCTCAGGACTGACTCCCTGAATCCAGCTCCCCTTCCTACCACCTCCAACTTTAATGCAGATAGATTTTTTTTTTTAATGAATGTATTCACATGGCCACAGAGATCTGCCCAGCCTGGCTCAACCCAGCCCTACAATACAGTACATAGATCATGGCTTGGAGACCCTCTGGCCAATTCATAAATATTAGACCTGGAAGAGATCCCTAAAAGGTCATCCCTTCAAAATTCTTCATTTTATAGGAGAATGTGAAACCCAGAGATGTCACAGCAAGTGAGCAGCAAAATCAAAACTAAAACTCAAGTGTCCTGGATCTCAACCAGGCTCCATTGCAAGTTCATGTTATTCATGAGAAAACTTAGCTTTTCGGTTCTAGTTATTTTACAGAAAACTCCGTGCAGGGAGTTTAGAGGGGGCCAACCAAGGCAAGGGGTCCCTTTTTTTCTATATCATCCATGGATTTTAAATAAGCTACTCCCTGAGCCTTTTTATCAAGTGAGATAATATTTATGAAGTGCTTAGCACAGTAGTAGGCGCTACATAAATGCTTATTCCTCTCTTCTTCCCCCTTTCCTTTTTATGACCATCCCCCTAGTGGGAGTAAGCATGGCAGGAGGTTTTTCATCTTTGACTGAGGAAAGCTAAGGCACCTGGTGTCTGGAAGGGACAAAGGCTCCCTACCAGCTGTGGGACTTAGCTTCTGCTATAAACACCCTGCCCCACCCCCCACATACATCCCTGTTTGGAAAACTGTTCCCATACTTCCCTTCCCATCACCCCTCTCTCAGGTGTCCAATTTGTCTCTTCTCTTTTGTTAAAATTCACCTTCTGCCACATATTTACCACCGCTTTTTCACATCCTTGTTCTATTTGCTGAACACTATTCCCACATGCCCTTGTTTCCAGCCCCTTCTCCACCTTTTTTTATGCCCCTCAGTCCTTGCTGTCCTAATCAGCTACAATTGCTTCTTTTATGCTAGTTTATCTCCTTCTAGCATCTCCATGTTCTAGGTAACTCAGAGCTTAGCCATAGTCTTGTCTCCCTCCCTGACCTCCAGCTTCCAGTTCCTACTTTCCTATCCCTTCACTATATATATCCCACCAACCCTAGAAAGGGTAGAAGGATAAGTTAAAATCCATCATTTTGATTGTAAAGCTAGCAGCCTCCTGGGGGTTTGGGGGTGAAATATGTATGTATGTATGTATATAGTGAGGGACTAGGGGATAAGAATCTCAGCTGGGACAGTGGGGTCCACTGTTCTCCCCTCCTCCCCCTGGGGCAGTTTAATTTGTTAAAAAAAAGTAAATATTTGCCTCAAGCCAGGGAACACCAACTCCTCCCCACACTATCTCACTATCTCCTTCTGGGTTCAAAGGCCCTCCCCCGTGTCCAGGGCCTCTGTGGCCTTGTCTTTGCACACAGTGTGTTGCATCTGTGAAACTGTGCAAGCTTGGCTTTTTTGTTTCTGTTGTAGTGAAATCTGCTGTTTTCTTCTTGGACCGTGAAGGGCAAAAACAAAACAAAACAAAACAAAAACAAATAAAAAAACAAAATGAAAAAAAACACAAAAACAAAACAACGCCAAAAAAACCCTAAAAATATTTTAAAATGAAAGCAACAAAACTTAAGCAGAGAAAAGAAGCAATCAACCAAGTGACAAGTCCCACATAGAGGCCACACACAGGCGCCCAGCAAGAAGAGTCCAGCAGGAGGCGCTGTGTACCCCGCACCCACAAAGTGAACACCAACCTGATGGCACCAAGGGGGAGACTTTCCCCAACCTCCGTCTCTCACCCCTTCCCTAAGCTGGCAGTCACATTGGGGAACCCCTCCTCTTCCTTGGGCTTATGAGGGGTGAGAGCCAAGCTTTTGCTACCCCAGAGATAGCAGGTTTTTTGCTACCATGTCTTCCTCTCAGTCTCCCTTTACTCCTGGGTGGTGTAGGGACTGATAGGGCAAAGTGATAGAAGAACAGAAGGAAAACAGGATATAGTGATCTTGTTCCAAGTGGCTTGGGAATAGCATGCAAAAAGAAAGAGTTGGGGCTGGGAGCAGCTGGGGAGAAAAGAGGGGAGGGAAAGAGAAGCAAAGGCAGTTTTGCATTCCCAGGAGCTCAGGCTTTGGTGCATGCCTAGTCATCCATGGGTTGAGTTTTCTGGGTCTGAGCTCCCCATGCTGTGCTGGCAAAGAAAATGTCCTTGCCCTCACCCTAGTGAAAGCGATGTGATGTGCTGAGCAGTGTATCACATTACAGTTTGCCTGAATGTTATTTGACCACCAGTCCTCGAGTGCCAACTCCCTTAAAAAAATAGAAATAAAAAAGCATTGGCAGGACTCCAGGAAAGCCAGAGTCCACAGATTTCTCCTCCAGCCACTCACTCTCTTGGCTCCCAGACAGCAGAACAGAACAAGCCCAGTCTCTGTCTGGGAGACCCAGGCGAAAAGGGGACATCCAGTGTTCCTCTTATGTAAGAACTTTGAAAGGTGGGTATCCCCTGCAGCCTTGCCTCTTTCAAAACTACTTTCCTCCTCTACCATATGCAATTCTATAAGACAAGACTTGGAGCCATTCAGTGGGGCTGGGGGTTCAAAACAGGTTTTTGTTCTGGCGGCTGAAGTTGATCTCTCTAGTTTTGCTACCTGGTGCTCTGCTCTCTCTCTACCAGCTGCTCAAGATCCATTCCCCTTGGAGGCCAAGGGGCAAGTGGCTGGAGGGGGTATTGGACAGAGCTGAGTGGAAAATAGACAGGAGTAGCTGTAAGGGTCTGACTCTGCTGGGGGGCAGAGGAGAAGGAAGCGGGCAGCCTAACTCAAGATCTTCATCTGCTCCACTGGTGCAACTTCACAGCAAGATTAGGTATCATGGTGCTATGGGTTTAGGAAACAAACCATAGCCAGGGAAAGGAACCTATGAGAAGAGCCAGGGAGTAAGGGGCAGTGTGAGGGGAAGAGAGGTTCAGAGCTGACTCAGCCCCACAGTGGAGTTTCAGGCCTGACCCTCAGTTACTGCCCTTGGTATTGTGGCTGGGTTTCCAAAGTAGTGGCGGCAGCAAGAGGTCATCCTTCTGGAGCACCTGGGAGGAGAGAGGGACCTTGTTTAGCAGCAATGGTAGGGACAAATAACAGATGGCCGGGTGGGAAGAGGAAGCCCCTGCCAAGGTAAGGATAACTGGAGTAGCCAAAAGGAAGGGGGGAGAGGGGGAATAGGCTCCCAACATAGCTCTACTGTCTCATGAAACTTTAAAAAAAATCAAACAACAAAAAACAAAACCCTCACTTTATATTCAGCATAAGCGCCTGAAGCTATCGAAATGGAATTCTCCTTTTCTATTCCTGATGTACATAGAACCCAATCCCTACCTCTGGCCATTTGTCTTCTGTATAAAGCTCCCCCACCCCTTCCATCTGCTGTACTGAATCCTTTTCTCTTGGCAGCCTCCTCCCAGGCCCCTCTTCCCCCTAAATTGATTCCCCTCCTCCCTTCTAGGACTGCAACAGAGCCCCCAACTTCCTTTCTTACCATTCTGTATGCTTCCAAGGTGTGACCATTCAAATTAACAGTATTATTATTAAGATTATTAATAAAGATTTCTTTCTTCAAACCAGGACAGCTTTTTGATTGGGGGGAGGGGCCGAGGGTCCTGGACACAGAGGATGGGAATGGAAAGGTGTATGATGGGCCCTACTGGGGAGTAGGTGTTCCAAACTGAGTACATTCTCTAAATGGTTCAGTTCTAACTTTGGCCAAAGCCAGACAAATGACAAATGGCTGAGACATCCCCCTCCCCACACACACACAAGAAAAACTTACCAGACATGGGGTTATTAAACCAGTAAGGTCCAAATCCCAAGTCACTCTTTCCTTTTGGCTCATCTCCAACATCTCTAAAAGAGAAACGTGGAGAAGCTTTCATATTAATTCCTGGGATCTTTTAATTTAATTTTTCAATTTATTTTATTTATTTATTTTGCTTTTTGATGTGGCAGAGTTAAGTGACTTGCCCAGGGTCACACAGCTAGTAAGTGTCAAGTGTCTGAGGCCGAATTTGAACTCAGGTCCTCCTGACTTCCAGGCTGGAGCTGTATCCACTGTACTACCTAGCTGCCCCATCCTTTAATTTTAAAGGGAAAAAAAAAAACCTTTCACAACAGCCTTGTGGTACCAAGGCTTCTGTCTGCCCTTATCCATTCAGGTATCAGATTTGGGATAGATGATATCAAAGGTTTCCCTTCCCGTGTTAAATCCTCTGACCCCAAGATTTCCACTGAGAGATCAGGCAGTGAAGGTTTTGCTACCATTGAATTCCAGTCAAGTTTCCTAAGCAGCAGGGAATC